CGATATGGCTGAGATAATGCCGATTGGACGTTAAATCTTCACTCACTCACTCACTGACACAGTCGCAACTAGTAGACATGTGCATGAAGAGTATTTTGCCATTGCAGGGCATATTGGTGACTTTGTCTTTTTGTTCCATTTACTTAGATATTGGTTTGGACCTGACATTTAGTACCTATCAAATGTTTAGACTCGCTTCAAGATATATGTGATCTAGGACGATTTTTTCTACTAACTTGGGCAAACCAACTGCAAACCTTATGCAGATGAACTGCACGAGGATCATGCATCAGGTGAAAATATCGTGCATGTGAACAGCTGCGTTTTGGTGTATTTTTTTTGTTAAGAGTTCACCAATTTTCTCTGCGTTTCACCATTTATTAAACTCATGACAGTTATCATTTCAACGTTATGAATGTGTTTTCCAATACATCAGTCCATGTGTAAACAGTATCTTTAAACAGTAAGGAATATTTTACAACATCTAGTTAAGAACAGTTGACGGAAGTAAGTGTCTACAAGTGCGTTAGTGAGTCTAAACTTTTGATGGGTAGTATAGAAGTACAACCTCACCCACCCATTTAAAAATTCAGTCTGGGTCTTTTTGATTTGTTTGTTATACTGTATGTCAGGTTTTATTTTTGCTGAAGATTTATTGATCCGGGATTTGTAGATATTCTGGAGTTAACTATGACATGCCACACCATAGAACTAGAATGTCTTAAGTTTCCAATACATTCTCCTGTATTTCAGAAGGAATGATTGACCACATTATCCCACCGCCAGAGGACACCGAACTGGTTCTGGTGACAACTGGTGGTTATTTGTACTATATTTTCCTCACGGGGAAAAAAAGTATTATTCGAAACGCGTTTCAATGGGAGGCACGCCATAAAAGCATATTACGATGATGACGAAGAAGCCTTGATTGTGCTTACGCCCAGTCACAGAATAACCATCTCAGTTTATGACGGGAAAGTCACCAGGAAAACACACCAATACAATTGTAAGTGTTATCCCACACACATTTCATAAGTTTGGTAAAGTCGATGATGTGCGTGTGCTTTTTCTCTTTGAGGCAATAATATTATTCCAAAACGTGTACGTTGTGGTATTCCGCTAATACAAATTTATCTGAAGTGCATCGTAGAATAATGCGAAGCTTATATCTTTATGGCAGAAGATGTGATATGATTCGTTACTGTTTGTTGTTTAACGCCGCACTCAGCAATATTCTGGTAGTCTAGTTAAAACCAGTCTTGACCAGACTATCCAGTGATTAACAGCATTAGCTGTTCTAAGCAATTGGGATACGATTTTGTCAACCATGTCAGCAAGCTTGACTACCTGGTCCCGTTAGTCGCCTTTTACGACAAGTAAGGGTTCCTGCAGACCAATTCTAACCTGGGATTTTCACGGGTGTGGATTTTGTAGAGACTTGTAAAATGACACATCAGTGCTTAAATACAGGGGAGAAGGACTCTTTGTGCAATCAGATCAGTTTGATGCAAATCAGTTTCAGATGTAGTTGACTTGGAGTCAGCTGACGGTGTCACAGGAATCCTCCGGAGGAAGCACTTAGAAATTCTGGAGGTGCAAACGCGAAAAACCGTGAAGATACAAAAGGGTCGTCCCCAGACTCTGCACATTTCACAAGCGAAAAGGTACGAATGAGCGCATTGTTCTTCAAGATATTCAACATTACAGAACAGTGGTCTGCAAAGGAGAGAATCTGAACATACCCTATCCAGTGATTGAGAGCATAAGCATTCCACTATCCTTTTCTACTCCACACAATTTTCTTGTGGTTGACGGTGAATTCAGAAATGTTCTACATTACTGAATGGTGGTCTATGCGAAAACAAATGTGGACTAGACAACCCAGTGACCGACAGCATGAGCATCCAAAAGGTCCTTATTGGCCAAGGCCTTTTCTTTTCTTTCACGCAGCATTCAGAAATTTTTAACCTTATACCAGGGTGGTCTGCGCAGAAAAGAATCGATATTTAACAATTTGAATTTTTGTTCAAATAACACGTCAATACCTAATCAGTTCATTTTGCCGTGTAAATAAAATGTTTATTCACACTCCAAAAGCAAAGACAACCAAAAGTTGCTTATACACAAATGAATAGCAATGGTATTGAACAAAAGAAGTGAAGTGTACAACTCCCAAAGTAAATTCCATTCATATGCATAGAGAGTGAGTGAGTTTGTGAGTTTAGTTCTACTCCACAGTCCGCAATATTCCAACTATTTGGCTGGAGTCACATTGAGAGAAGTCCAAAATATACGTCATTGCCAGCAGATTGTTTTCAAAACCGCCGTCATTAAGAGCTGGACTATCGTGAAGTGTGGAGTTAAACCAAGAACATGTTTGGCATTCTGGAGACAGGTCAGGGACTCACATCAGAAACTGTGGCATGGTATCCTAGGGGTTATTTGTCCCCTGGAGAATTAAGTTAGAATTGGTCAGCAACACATGCTTGTTGTAAGAGGCGCCTAACAGGATGGGGGTGTCACATTCGCTGACGTCACTGTAAGGTAATTACGGCAATCCCAGTATTCAAATCCAATAAGTGAAACATTGCATTTTCTTCATATTGTTTCTCTTAGGGCAGTCTACTGGAGCAGTATGCTGAATGACAAAACAACCGTTACAGAAACATTTTTCTCTGGAGAGGAAGGAGCCGTATATCACTCAAAAGCTTCAATGGCCAGTTTTGCATTCAGAAGTGGAGGTAAGGCTCGATGAGAAAATGATATCATGACAGGCCACGCGCCTTTCTTGTACTATGTAGGAATATGCCATGTGACACATTAGAAAAAATGATCCCCAGACTATTGGGGAAAACATAATGTTTCCCAAGGTTTAAAACTAGAATAAAGTAAAAGGTATCTTCCTAAGGAATGCTTAGTGGCCCGAATGATAAATGTGTCAGATAACAAAACAAACAAATAATTAGTCTCCCGCCTGTGTTCCCTGCTTCATACATCGATATTTTAATGTGATGGCCACTATCAATATATATAGATGGCAGAAAACTCGTAAGATACATGTACACGAAAAGTGACAATATACTTTTAAGTATTGCCATAGCCTCAGTAATAAAAATAGAATTCCATCAGTTATTCTCAGAGAAAAGGCGTTATTGTCAGCAACAGCAGCTGCTGATACCTCAACGCCATCTTTCGATCCGTCTGTGTACAGATTTTTGTAAGAATGATACTTATCTTTGATTTCTAAAAAAGTCTGTAAAATAGTGTATTGGTAGCAGCTTTCTTCAGTTGTTTTTTTTCATTTCTAACTTGACATCAGGTTCTGTGGATTGCCATGGTGGTATTTCTGGCAATTTATGGTTAGAAATATGTTGCTGATTTAGTTTGGCATTCCGTATTTGCGACTGCTTACTTAAAACCCAGAGGTGGAGTCGACCTTGGTTTGTTATCATACGCATCCTGATAAGATGGATTGAAAGTTCAGTTGAAAGGTGGGTTAAATGGATTTCAGTGATGCTTAGATAAATACTGGAGAGCGAGTTTAACTCTTCTCAACTTTAAACATGGGTCATTTGCTTAAGACATACAGATCGCTCTACCACCATGCATAGTGTAATAAAGCATACTTTCGCCCTGAACTATTATAGTTAAAGCACGAGGACACTTGCATTATTTATGTGTGGTATAATGATAATTTGCTGTCTGGGTCTGAATAGAAGTCCAAGACTGAATGACCCCCAACCATGGCCGCCAACTGTGGCTGGACTCGATGGCTAATTCATTCCATGCACAGTCGATTCAATGCTTTCATCAATGTCCATGGCGGTCACACACGATACAGACTTTGGGGTCTCTTAATAGTACCATTTGTGGTGATTTTGTTTGTGTGAACTCGAAATGTGATTCCCGAAAATGTGTTATCCATAATTGTTAAGTTTGAACTCAATCCTCTGTTTTGATTGTAAGTTTGAGTGAATTAAATATGTGCTTGAAGAAACCTCGAGCGGTATGACGTTTCTTTTGCTTTTCAGTATATTCTCACCACCATTGAATGAGCAAAGGTTTTGCTTATGAAGGAAATCCTCCAGCAGTTTACATTTATCATTATATCCAGCAGAACCCCACATGGCATTTTGTCCATTCACATCACGAACAAGAAGAAAGGGATTTTGAAATTAAATACTATTGGATTATATTCATGTACAAGAAATTTCACTTTATCAAAACTAGCCCCAAGGCCTCTAGAGTTTCTCTTTAGTGTTTTTTGTATTTTGTATTATCATTGATTAAGTGATAATTATTATTGGTCACAATGTTTAAAGTTTTGAGTGTGGGTTTTGGCTTGTAAACATATTTGTTCTATGGCAGTAGTATTTTTAGCGGCACGCTGTCAGCGCTTCAGAGTTGCCTCCCTTTTCAATCTTGTCTATTGTACGGCTTTCATCATGCCGTGTGTTCCACATGATTCCATATCGTTCCGAGAGAATAATGATGGAGCCTAGCTTTGCTAGAATGATCGAGAACTGTGTAAGAGCTATATAAAGGCTGGTTGTTGCGTTGTATTTTACATTGTGACCCAATATTGTAGATTTGTGACTCAATTACATTGTACTAGATATCTGTATTGTCATTCATTGTAGCTTGCTCATTGTTTGTTCAATATATTATTGGATATTTTAGACTTGTATGTGGTCTATTGTGCTGGTTCAAAGGGGACTCTTAAACCTTTGTCACAGCAAAATATTAACTGTAACAGTAGTTTCTGTCATGTCTGTATGGAGGAGCTACGGGAGAACGTTCGCTGTCCATTTTTCTTTGGAGAATGACTCCGCGGTCGTGCGTTTTGAGGTAAGGAAATATGTATATACTCTTACACTCCACAAAGGTGCGGGACTTTTGTGAGCGTTTGGGGTACAATCTGATTTTTGGTGTTTTTATTACATGCCGGGGGATATAGTCGACGCTTCGCCCGTCCGTCCGTCCACATTCATTTTGTTTCCGGAGCATTCCTCAAAAACCGTTTAATATTTTTCAACAAAAATTGGTAGATAAATCAAACAGAACTTAAGTTGGGGCCTGTTGCTATTTACAGACTTTTGTGATTTATTCTTTTCTCGGTTTCCATGGAAAGAGTTCAGGCTTCGTCTCAAAAGGGATGGGTGAGGCTTCGTTTCCGGAGCACAACTCGAAAACCTTTCAATTTTTTCAACAAAATTTAGCAGATATGTGAGACGGTTCCCGAAGTGGTGTTAATTGATATTTATGGATTTTTGTCATTTGTACTTTTCTCGGTTTCCACGGAAATGATTTGGACTTTGGATTTGGTCCCAAAAGGGCGGGATGGGCTTCGTTTCCGGATCACAACCGTTCAATACCTTTCTACAAAACTTGGCAGATGTATCAAACAGATCGTGATGTGATGCCTTTTGCTACTTGCAGATTTTTGGCATCTATATTTTTCATGATTTCCATGGAAGTGATTTGTAAAAATGTAAAGTTGCACTTTAAGTAACTGTCAAATGATTTGGTATTTCAAATTTGTGGGGGCCGGGGAGATTTGTTATCTTCTGATGACTGTTGTTAAAATTTGTTTTGGATGCCATGATAATAAGAATATGCTTTATCAGTCCTGCTCCTCGCATGCAATGGGACGCCTGTACTGGCGCTGCAAATTGTCAGCGGATCTCCAGCAGACTTATATCAAGATGTTTCAGAATTGATATACTCCAGTATTGTAACATACCAGAATGCCCTTGAGCCACTGCTTTCTGAGCAATGTTTGCACTAGGCACTTAAAGAGTTGATTAATAAACAGTCAAAATGTCACAAAGTTCAAAGAATTTCTAAGCAAGAATCTGAGCTAATAAGTTAAAAAAAGGTCAAATTTGTGCAAGTGAAATCTGCTGCACAGGGCTTAACATGACCAGCAGACTGATAGAACCGGGCCCATTCTACTACCCATCTAGGTGAAGTCAGGGTCGAAATGGTGTGTTGGGCAAAGGAACACTGTTCCTGGAATCAGTTCCCTCAAACGCCAGAATCCCTTCCTCCTACTGTAAGTCTCAATGGTCCCTAGTATAGTGATCTACCTTCGGTTGTTGGTGATCTGTTGGTTAGTTTGTTTTTAAATTGTATTGTCTTCAATTATTATGAGTTTTAGATTAATATGGTAGTTTAACATCTATATCTGTGATATTCTAGTTGTTTTTATATGGTCGACAGGTTTTTATCTTTTAACTTTATGTATTTTGAATGTATAAACTGTTTTTGTCACGATACGGCTGAAATACTGCCTATGTTACTTACTCACTCACTCACTCACTCTCTCACTGAAACTGGCACCCGTGAAGAGCAACCTCCTCGTGGTGGGTGCTGGGTAACGCTAAGAGCTCTTCAACTCCCCGCTGTGGACTCGGGGGTATATTTGGTCCACCAACCCGTTTGCCGTGGGTTGCGCCCCTGTGTCGGTGGAGGAAGGGAGTCTGGTTGGTTGAGGGCACTGGTTCCAGGAACAGTGTTCCTTTGCCCAATGCACCACTTCGCCCCTAACTTCACCTAGATGGGTGGTAGAACTTGCCCGGTTCTATCAGTCTGGTCACGCCACGCCCAGCCATGTGCATGGTGAGCATTTATGCACATATTTAGAAATTAAAATGTATACTGTGGTCTTGGCCATTATTTTTTGACAATGACACAAATGATTGATTTGTTAATTTGCCTAGAGTCCTATGCCAGAAGGCGGTGGCTCATGGGCCAATCTGGTAGGAACTATCTTTTCAAGATATTTTCCTGCTTGAGTATGCCCTCCTAGTATCCTTGGTGCCGTCTGTTGGAGATCCACAGACATGTGGCATCGTCCTTGTTGACACTCCATGGTGGGTGGGGAGGTAGGAGGGTGAATCATATTTATTTCTATCATGGCACCCCCACTAAAAAGCGTTCACACGAATCTGATGATTCGTTGTCTTCAGATGATGAAGCACAAATTATTTTCACAAACTCTGATAATTGGCCGCGTTTCATTGTTATGTGTGCCCCTGATGGTGGCCCAGTCAAGTTAAATGCCTTTATTAGGCCGGAGAGGTGAAAGAAATAAAAATGTTGACATCTGGTTCCCTGCTTATCGAATGCAGAAAGAAATACAATCCAAAATTCTGCTCAAAACAAAGTCTTTAGCAAATGTTCCTGTGGAGGTGTCCCCTGACAGGACATTAAATACCAGCAAAGGCATCGTCTGTGATATTGGACGTTGCCTGTCAGACATGAGTGAACTTGAAATCGTTACTGAACTGCAATCCCAAGGCGTTACTCATGTCAAACGCTTTACAGTTAAAAAGAATAATGAAGTCTTCAAATCCAACACTATCTGTTCACATTTTGTCTCTCGATGCATCCGAAATCTCTGAAAGCAGGATATTGCAACTTAAGGGTTGATACTTTTATCCCAACCCTTAAAGGTGTTATACTTGCCAAACGTATGGTCACGGGTCAAAGTCTTGCCACAATCCAGCTGCATGCCAACGATGTGCTGGAGCGTGCCAAGACAGTAACCTTTGTGATCAAACACCGGTTTGTGTCAACTGTTCTGGTTGCCATCCTTCCTCATCCAAGGAATGTCCTTCCTGGAAGTTACAGTCAAAGATTTCACGAGTGAAGCATGAGCAAAACGTTTCGTTCTTTGAAGCAAAACAGATTGTTCTAGCACAAGAACAGTTGGGCCCGAGTTATGCTACCGTTGGATCCTGCTTCCGTTCAGGCCTCCCAACGAAAACACGTTTCGTGCAGTTCAGTAGGTTGTCAAACGGATTATACGTGGGCTAGAACATCAGCTCCCACATTGCTTTCTTCTGAAACTCAAGCAAAGACTACAAAAGTTACTTCCATTGTACAAACCATCACTGTACAGACCAAGGCATCTTCTCAGAAGGATTCATCTGCTTCTCAAAAACAAGCATCAAAATCAGACTCCACTGTAAAACCAAATGTGAAAACTACATCCAGACCGAACAATAAAATTCATAAGAAAAATCCCAGTTACAGACCTCCAGAGGGGTCAGATGACCTGGTCCAACTATATAATAAGTTTGGATCACTTGAGGACATAGATGTGTCCGACCATAGCCAAGGTCGGACTCATAGCTTGTCACCCTCAAGGAAGGTGAGGGGTAGATCTCCTGTTCATCCACCGAAGAAGTAATGTCTTCACGTATAATTCAAAGGAATTGTAGAGGACTCCGAAATAATTTAAACGATTAACAGTTATTAAACCAAGATTTTAAACCGTCAGCATTCTGCATCCAAGAAACCTATCTGAAGCAGACAGATAACTTTGACATCAGTCAGTTCAATGCATATCACTGTTTTTCTCCTCCGGGTGATAGAGTTTCTAGTGGGTCATCAATCCTGGTGAGGAACAATATTATCCATACCTCAGTTCCAAATAAAACAAATCTTCAAGTCGTTGCAGTTCGACTTACATTACAGGTTGCTTTTACTTTATGCTCTTTGTACATTCCGCCTTCATCGGCTGTCCAACTAACCGATCTGCAAGCTTTTTATGATCAACTACCTAAACCACAGGCCCCCACTGCGGGTAAGAAAATCGATAAACTAGGCCCCGGTTTAGTATCAACACCCCCTACTATATAATATATAAAGGTTGATCACAGAAATACGGTGACGTGATCGAAAACCGGACAATTACACACATGTCAATGAATATATCGTATTTTAAAGGTCTCACAAGTATCAAAAGCTTTTGTCCATATCTCCGATGTATGTAGGAGGCATATACATGCGCTTTCCGTGGGGATGCATTTGATGGTTTTTATTAAATCGGCAAAGACCGAGTTGCTGTGCCGGAAGTGTACAAAACTAGATCGTCAGTGCAATCAAATGCACGTGCAAAAATGAGAGGGAAACTCAAACGTCTATCATCCAAGATGTCACTATCTGATGTTTTAGCTTGGTAAGAATAATTTTAAAAACGAGTACAAATATTTTTTAAAGAAACACATTCATTCAGTGTAATGTGTTAGCAAATCAGATCGCCGGAGGTAGTGAAGTCAAGCGCTGACGAGCTAGTTTTGTATACTTCCGGCACAGCAACTCGGTCTTTGGCGATTTTTTACCGCGACAAGAAATATTAAAATCATCCACAAAAAGTGACCCATCAACTGAATCATTAAAAAACTTTTGCTAAACTGTTGATTTTAATACTAAATAAAGTGACCGACAAAATACTTCCCTGGGGAACACCCTGGTCCTGTTTATAATAATCAGACAGGGTTGAGCCCACGCGGACTTGAAATTGTCTGTCAGTTAAAAACTAAGATATAAACTGAGGCAAACGGCCCGTAAACCAAAATCTTTTAAAATGCCATAGTTCCATGTAGTGTCATAAGCTTTTTCTAAATCAAAAAAGATTGACACCGCATGTTGCTTGTTTACAATGGCTTTCTTAACGAATGACTCCAATCGAACTAAATGGTCAATGGTACTGCGATTTTTACGAAAACCACATTGAATATCTGTGATCAAATTATTCGATTCTAAGTACCATGTTAGTCTGTTATTGACCATGCGTTCCATGGTTTTGCAAATGCAGCTAGTCAAGGATATTGGCCTATAATTAGAGGGATCTGTATGATCACGTCCAGGTTTGGGTATGGGTACAACTATGGCATCACGCCAGGATGATGGAAATTTACCAGATGTCCAAATTTCATCAAAGATACTCAACAGCGTCTCTAAAGATGATTCAGGTAAATGCTTCAGGAGTTGATAATGTATACCATCAGCTCCTGTAGCAGTATTATGAGCTTGTTCAAGAGCAGTATGAAGCTCATGGATAGAAAATATTTCGTTATAATCTTCCCCGTTATCAAGCTAGCATTAGAACTTACATCCGGGATCAGATGCAGAAGAAGTGGGACACCCAGGTAGGAATCAATAAATTACATGAAATAAAACCCTACATGGGTTGAGAGTCCAGATTTGATGAGGTCATCATGCGACGATGTCGCATTGTCCATACGCGTTATCCTCCGTTTTGTATCACTTGTGATGAGAGAGTCACGGTCAAGCATATCCTGCTTGACTGTGTTGAATTCTCCATCATAAGGGATGAATACTTCAATGCAAAAACAGGTAAGGATCTTTTTAACACTGTTAATTTCATTTAATTATTGAATTTTTAAAAAGAAATTGATTTCATAGATGAATTTTGAATAATGTCTTCTCTAGATAGATGTATTGTAATGACTGGTAGTTTAGATTAGTAAACTTAGATTGCTAGTGGCTATACCCTCAAAGGGGGTTAAAGTACCGTGAAATTATTATCCTCCTGAGAGGGTACGTTAGTCCCAAAACTTTCAAAGTAAAATATAAATTATCACATTTTAAAGGTAGTATTTTTGTTATTTTAACTGTTGGCTAAATTTTCCTACAATCGCCAGAGGCTGAAGGGATGGTGTAAATACAGC